CCTCCCCTCCCCTCCCCTCCCCTCCCCTCCCCTCCCCTCCTCTGCCCTCCCCTGCCCTCCCCAACCCTCCCATCCCCTCTCTTCTTCTGTCCTCTCCTCTCCTCCCCTCCCCTCAAAACAACACAAGGAACAGAGGAAGTGCTTGCTCAGACAGCATCCTCAAGTGCTTCAATATGGGAAAGCAGCAGAAGAGAGAAGCCCTAAGGTGGCCACAGAGGAAGGAGTTGAAGGCCCAAAGCCTGTGTCACTCAGCAGCTCTCTAGCCATTGATTTCCTTCCTTGTTCTCCTTTGTTTTCACCTGAGTCACTCAGTCAGAGACCAACTGTCAACCCCTCTAGACTACACTTACATAGGCCTCTTGAAAGCAATATACAATAGGTTTTTAAAGACTGTTCAGCATGGAAATCTTTGTATTTTAATTAGAACTGAGTCAGTACTGTTAGTATTATCGTTTTACGTTTAGTGCAGTGATTATTTGGGATTGTGTTTACAATTGGGTCAGGCAATGATTCTTTTTCATTTTTTGCCTTTTTAAACCTTCATTAGTTAATTCTTTCATCCCTCTCAACTATTAGCTTCTTGGTTAATTGAGTCACTTTCCCACGGGTTATAACTTGATTTATGATTTATAAAAGTCTGATATTAAGTTTTAGCATTGTGCTGGCTAGTTTTTGTTAACTTGACAGAAATCTAGCCATATTTGGGAAGAAGGAATCTCAGTTGGGGATTTGCCACTATCAGGTTTCGGGCATCTTTGGGGGTATTTTCCTACCTGGAGGGCTCAGGCCCTGTGAAGAGTGCCTTCCCTAGACAGGTGGGCCTGCCTGGGTAAGAAAGCCATGGTGAGTGAGCTAGTAAGTAGTGCTCACCTGTGGTTTCTGTTCCTGCCTCAGGGTTCCTGCCTTAACCTCCCTCAGGGGTGGACAGTAACCTGTAAGCCAAATAAATGCTATTCTCCCCTGAGTTGTTTTTGGTTAGTTGTTATGGTTATCACAGCAGCAGAGAAGCAACTGAGACAACCACTTAGATAATCTGAGAACTCTAGAACCTTTTAATATGATATTATTCATAACCTCTCCATTCTCTTTTTTGATATTATGTATTTTAATTCTAGGTATAGAGGCATTCCTTATTTTGCATTGTGCTTATATGGACGAAGATCAGTTATTGTGATCTCGTTAAATAACTAGCTTTATTAACAGTTTCACATGGAGTTATAGAATGCTAGCTGAATAACAGAATGAAGTGCAAGCTTTACGGCTAGGTGTTCGTCATAGACATCATTGGATAGGTAACAGTTGGGAATCACATAGTAGGTGATCAATCACATCACTGTTTCAGCCACTGGTCATTGTCACAATTGTTTACTCACAAACAATAAAGAATATGATGTTGCTATGAGCTTCTGCGTAACTGATTGGTATGACATGAGTTAACCAAAATAGTGAATTGACAGACAAAGGTGAACATTCAGGGCCTAATTGTAATGGTGGCATGTAGCTGTAATCCCAGCACAGAAGGCACATGTTCAAGACCAGCCTGTAGTACATAGTGAATTCTTGACCAGCTTGGATTACACAGTGAGACTCTATTTCACTCCCCACCCCCATTCTACCTCAGAACAAGGCATGATGTCTTATGCCTGTAATCTCAACGTTAAGGAGAATGGGGCAGGATTGCTGTGAGCTAGCTTGAGCTACAGGATGAGACTTTGTCTCAGAATCTTAAACCAAACCAAACCAACCAAACCAAACCAAACCAAATCAAACCAAACCAAACCAAACCAAACCAAACCAAACCAAACCAAACCAAACCTAATGTAACCAAACCAAACCAAACCAAACCAAACCAAACAAAACCTAACCAAACCTAACCTAACCTAACCAAACCTAACCAAACCTAACCAAACCTAACCTAACCTAACCAAACCAAACCAAACCAAACCAAACCAAACCAAACTAAACAAGAACAATCATCAAAAACCTCCCAACCCGCACCAACCCCATTAAAAACAAAAGAAATTCTTGCATATTGTTTACTGCATCAACACAAAGAGGGTTGAATACCAGGATCCAGACCCAGAATTTGCCAAGACATTGGAAAGATGCTTGCCTATAACTCATGCAACGAAGACGAAACAGGGCAGTTGCAGTTTAAGCTTCTTAATATGCTTTTTTAAACCTAAAATAGACTCTAATTCTAAATATTTTGATGCTTAAAATTGTGCATTCAATCAATATCAGGTTTATCGTCTATCCTTTCCTTACATGTTTGTAACAGTGAGAGAAAACTTCATGTTTTGACAAAGATTTTAAATGTCACGAAGTATTCAAACTTTTCTCATTGATATTGAATTGGTTTTTTGTTTGTTTATATTTTATTTTGTTTTTTAACTAGTTTCAGTCTGTATATTTTTTAGGATACCAGGCTACTGTGCAGAACATGGGTTGCCTGTACTTTAAATCCCACTGGTTTTGTTTTGAATAGTTTAAATCTCACATTTGCCTTCTCTGCCGCCGCTCATTTTCTTCTGTACAGAATGTATGGCCAAATGGGGATCATCTTTCTGTTTCCCAATTATTCCCATTAGCAGTTCTTTTACTTTGAGTCTAACCCTTGACAAATCCTTAATAAATGTCTTTGTGGGTCTGGTGTGATGGCTCAGCCTCTGAGGGTACTTGCTACCAAGTCTGTTGAGTAGGTTTGAGTCCCCAAACCTACCCAGTGAAAAGAAAGAACTGACTTCCACACGTCGTGTTCTGACCTACACATACATAACACATCCCACACCACACACACACACACACAAACACACACATACACACACACAAATTAAAAAGTATTTTAAATGGTGTCTGTCATTTGGGTCTATTTTGTACTTTTTCTTATACTTACATGTGAGTCATTTTACTCAAATTGTAGAAAGAATGTGGTTCCAGCCGCTGCAGAGTTGCATCTATAGATAAATAGCTGAACATTTAAAAAAAAAAATAAGGCAAAGTAGAAAGTTAGCGATGAACTCCAAATGGTCTCTTTTCTGTCACCATACTGATAGACTAGGCTGGCTGGCCAGCTATTTCCAAACATCTGTCCATCTGTCTATTTCCATTTCCAGAGTTCTGGGATTTATATGTGTGCCACCACTTATGCACTTATGGCTTTAAAGCAATATATATATATTCTTTATTGTGGCCTTTTCAAATAATAGACCATACACAAACTTCCTAACTATATATTTTTTTCAGATCTCAGTGTGCCTAGAGTTCCCCAATCTTTGTTCTATTTCTCTACAGGACTCATATGTCTCTTTCTTCAGAGACTTCCTACCAGATTCTGGAAAAGGTTAAAATTCCCATGGTACAAATTTAAAGCACCATGAATGTTTCTTTTATGGATAATCACAGTGCACCTTTCTCACTCTTTGGTTTGCATTTGATTTACACCATGTCATTAGACTGTAAGTTATTTATTGTGGAGTGTTGTGTCTACTTTGGACCATTGAATCATGCAAGCCTTGTATAGTTCTGTGCATTAAGCTGACTCAGGAAATCCGTGCTTAGCGAATACATAAATGAATAGAGTAGATGTATCACTCAAAATAGCAAAACCAGAGCGCATCAGAAAAGAACATTGGAATAAATAAGAAGCATTTTTAATAGAGGGCTGAATAGCATGGGAATAAGATGTAATATACAAAAAGTTGATGAGAAACATCACATTTCCCTAGTGGAACATTCCAGAAGGTGTTGACAGTCATGATGATGAAATATTCTGAAAATATCTCTTACATTCTAAGACACTGGGCCTTTGCTGGACTTCACAGTCAAAGTTAACAATACATCCCGAGTCATTTAAGCCTGCTAGCCTTCTGTGTTCTTAGCCTGTTTGTTTAACCTGCTTTTAAGAGGACAATGCAACAGCCAACCTCACTTGCCTTGGATTTCCCATGTAATCAGCCTTTACAACCTAAGCTAATGGTTAGCTGTCACCTTAAATTATGTACTCTTTCATGCCCATGTCCCTTAACAATGCATGTGTATCATTTGTTGAGAGCAGCAAACACAGAAGTTAAAAGCAACTTTCTAAAATCTACCAGAAAGGTTGAAAGCATCTATTTATGAGTCTTGGTTGATAAACAGTACTTGTTATCTGGCTCAGTTGGGAACTGTTGGAGCCAGGGACACGATACCTTGTAAAACTCTGCTAAAGATTTTTGTAAAATCTCCCATTCCTTTCTCGTGTGATGCTTTCTGTGCTTTCAATAAAGACAGAGTGAAGCCTTTTGTGAGGAATAGACACACAATCTACAAACATACACACACACACACACCACAGAGGGAGAGAGGAAAGAAGAGAGAGAGAGAGAACGAAAGAGAGAGAGAGAAAGATGATAGGGATGGGGGGGACAGGGATAGGGACAGGGCAGGGACAGTGGGACAGGGAGAGGCACAGGGACAGGGAGGATGGGGGAAAGGGGACATGGGGACAGGGGACAGGGACAGGGGACAGGGACAAAGGACAGGGGAGATGAGGGACAGGGACAGAGACAGAGACAGATTCTCCAGATAGTTCAGACAGTGCTCAGGGAGATACAGATTAAGACTCATACAGCAGATAGACAGAGGACAGAAAACACAGGAGAATGAAGTAGACACTTCAAATCTCGACTCTTAGTGACATGGCTCCAAGGGGATGTGCTTTTGTTTCTTTCTTTAATGCGACACAATACATTATTGGTAACCCAGAGTTTTAATCACTGATGCATTTAAACCATGCAGACCACATTCTCTCTTAAGTCCTGTCTTCTTGATTTTAAATCAAACAGAAAAGTCAAAATTTCTCTTGAAATTATTAAGCAAAATATCTTTCAAAGTTTTAGGTATAAAAGACGGAAGAGGAGAGATGTCTCTTTACAGGAGCAGTTGTGAATCTGTATGTGAACGACCTTGGTTCAGATGGTTTTATTAGAGGCTTTCTCGAAATGAGAACAATACACACAGATTCAATGACCTTCATCTACTGAGAGGCATGTCTATGCCATCTGGGAAAACAAATGGTTTACAAAGCACTAAAAGAGATTCCCACCCCTGAACATACATGAACAACCTGGACACATACATGTTCAAGACCCATCTTAGGATCATTGATTCACGGTTATGAGGGCCAAGCACTCATATTTTTCAAAAGCTTCCTTGGTGATTATAACTGAATGACATTCTTCATAAGAGGAGCTGTAATTGTTAGACTCTGGGTATCCTTTTTGGCAGGGTTGTTTGTTACTATTCTGGTGCTCCTGTAGTATTTATTCTATAAACAAACAGCCTTTGATTTATCGGGTTTTCCAACCATTTGTCCTTTTTGGCTAAGCAACAATATGTAAATTGTTTTGATCCAAACACCATCTCAGAACACATTTCATAGGATCAGTTTACTGTTTGGGGACCTTACAGAATTTGTCATGGATGGAAGTGGAGCAAGATTCATGCCAAAGGCCGACAGCTTCCTTCCCTATGTTTATCTCACAGCCTTTGTCCCACACTCCCTACTGAATTCTCAGAGATGATGTTCGTTCTGCCACCTCACTGAGCTGAAGTTCTGCTTTCACTAGCCTCAGGACTTGTTATGGCTTAAATTATGTACTCTTCCATGCCTCACTCAAGGATAACACATGTGTGTCATTTGCTGAAAGTATCAAATACAGAGGTTGAAAGCAACTTCCTAAAACCTACTATAAAAGTTAAAAGCATCTATTTATGCATACTGGTCAATAAACAATGATTTTCGTAGAACTGTTTGTCATCTGGCTCAGCTGGGATTAACCGGTTGGTGATTCAATCCTTGCCAAACTCTGGTAAAGATTTCTGTAAAGTATTCCATGTCTTTCCTGTGTGATGATTTCTATGCTGTTTAATAAATGCAGAGCAAAGCACTTTGTGGGAGGAGAGAGACACATAACGGCCATATAACAGAACACACACACACACACGGGGGGGGGGTGGAGAGAGAGAGAGAGAGAGAGAGACAGAGACAGAGACACAGAGACACAGAGACACACACACAGAGACACAGACAGACAGACAGACTGACTGACTGACTCACAAGATAGCCTCCAAGCAGTCACAGATGCAGACTCAAACAACATATACACAGAGGCTGGAAGACACAGGGAGCATGAAGTAGAGAATTGAAATCTGGACTTGCTCTTGGTGAAATGGGCTAAGGAGGACATGTTTTCAATTTCTTTACTTAATGGGACACCAACATATCATCAGGACTCAGAGTCAACTACTAATGAGTACACATACACAGGCAATGGTCGCTGGCTTAACAGGCAAGTGCCTCTTTTCATCTGTCTGCATACTGCGTTTCCATTTTTAAGGCTTAGAATTGGTTTAAACTTGTTTTTAAGAGAGGAAACTCTGAAATGATTTGGCTTCGTTTGGGACGAAATGTCAAATGTTTGCACTGCATTACTGGAGAAAGTGAATCCATAAAAATCTAGGATGGCTGGGTAAGGAATAGACACATAACTGTCTGCGGATTCTTAGCACATCCTACGCTATGCTAAAACACACAAAAAATGGGGAGCTTGACATGGCCACACAAATTTAAACCTGCATGAGATTTAAAGGGTCCTGTAAGGATCAGAAAGTTAATATATAACTAAGCAGGCAAGTACTATATAAATAAAATTCACAAATACTTAAAAATGCAGATGCTATTGACTTAGGCAAGGGCAGTATCAATTGCTTTTCTTGACAGAACACACTGAGATAGAAGTGCATCACTATTGCAAAGTTCTCTGTATGTTCAAATGTTTACTTACATCCTGGAAATATTGGGCAGACTAGAAAACGCAAGACTGGGAATGGTCTTCAGATGAGTCTCGATGAGCTTCCTAAGGAAATGACAGTCACACGGTTAGAGTTCTCATCATTGGTCTTTTAAAATTACTCACTTCAGTGTCAATGAACACCTTATCAGAAGCATAGTGACCTTTCAGAGCACAGTCAATGACACCATCATGATTTCTCCCCCAGTGACATAAGAATTGGGAATGTGATTCGGATGTAGAAAACAAATCCTCATACCTCATCTCTGGATTGGCAGTAGAGTGATATACTTTGTCCAACATCTTACTTCATTTGCTCACTGAAAAGGCACATAGTGTGTCCCTAGGGCATATTCATGAGAAGGCCAGGTCTACAGCAGTATGGAAGTAAGTGCTTTCTCAGAGCTGTAAGCCATCTTTGTTGGGCCTGAAAATTGAAGGTATGGCACTCCCCAACTTTCCTTTCTGGGACTCCTCATAAATAAGAAAGCATCTTCAAATATTCCAGTATGATTCTTTACCTAGAATCCAGTTATCTAGCCTTCCATTTTTGACTTCCTCTCTTTATATAGTGATAACTTGAACAGAATCCTACATAGAAAAAGTATGCCCAATGTCTCCACCCACTTTGCAAAAGGACAATGGTGTGTCCCATTAATAATCTTTATCTGTGTTTGGTTTTGCACCTTGAATCTTGGAATTCACACACCGGGCAGTGGTGACGCACACCTTTAATCCCAGCACTTGGGAGGCAGAGGCTGGCAGATTTCTGAGTTCAAGGCCAGCCTGGTCTACAGAATGAGTTCCAGGCCAGAGATATACAGAGAAATCCTGTCTTGAAAAACCAAAAAAGAAAAAAAAAAGGAAATCATACATCAGTTACTTATTACCTTACATATAAATGATAGATTAATATAATTGCTAGGTTATTTCTCTATGATCTTTATTTCTTTGCTCTTTTCTTCTCCTCCTTTTTCTCCTCTTCTGTCTCTTCCTTTTCTTCTTTTTTCTCCTCCTCTTTCTTTTTTTCTATCTAGGCTTTCATTGGACTGTTTCTTTTGGCAGTACTTGAAAAATATTGGTAACATGCTTAATCAAAACACCCACAGGCCAAGTTTGTAAAAGGACTACAAATTTTTGTTAAATAGAGGGTAGGTAAATGAAAGAGGTAGATTTTTAACCCCTTCTCAACCTCTGAGTATTTGACCATGAAGTCCAATGTTGCCTTAATACTGGGAGATTCATTGTTTGAGTGGCTACCTTAATTTAGCTGTGTGGTGTTTTTATTTGTGTGTTCCTTACAACAACGTGATCTTTATTATTAAGGAAAAAAAGGAAAATAAATTCAGATCCCATAAATTCACTTTACTTGAAGTTACATCCCCTTCACTGGGCTGATTAAAAGCTTATTGATGCAGATCCAGGATTCTGGAGTTAAAACGATAAGAGAACAACTTGTTCTATTAAAATCTCTGTGCAAAAATGAGGCCATGCAGAAAGAAAACAAGGGATAATGTGTGCACCTGTTGGGAATTATGAAAAGAGATTGAGTTTCGTGAATGCAAAGGTGGTCTTCTAGAGCGTGCAGGTAGTATGGACCTAAACTGCATCTTTCACTGACTATAAATTAGGACATTTGGCCTTAATTTATTCAAAGGAGAGAAACAGATCAGGTTTGGTGGTATACACTTATGATTCTGGTACTCGGGAAGTTGGGGGCAGGACAGTTGTGAGTCTCAGCCTAGCCTGGGTTACATAGTGAGATCTGTCTCAAAATAAGATTTTTTTAAAAAAAGTAAATAATATATGTCAAATTAAATAGGAAGTTAGAGTAAAATTGAAATGGCTTCTAGCAGATGAGGAACAGAAATAGCATGTACACAAAATTTAATATAATTTCATTTAAAACTCAAATAGTATTTATACACTTTCCTGGAGGGAGGAAGAGAGGAAGGGTGGGAAAAAGGGAGGGAGAGGGAGAGGAAAAGAGAGAGAGAGAGAAGGGGAGACAGAGAGAGAGAGAGAGAGACAGAGACAGAGACAGAGACAGAGACACAGAGACAGAGAGAATTATATGTACTTGACTATAAGTTTATGTGCACTATGTGTATGCAGGAACCTGTTGAAGACTGAAGAGTGTATTAGATCCCCTGGAACTAGAGTTACAGATGGTTATGTGGGTGTTGGGAACTGAACCTGTGTCCTTTTCAAGAGCAGCCAATGCTCTTAACTGCTGATCCATCTCTCCAGACACATAATTCCTGTTTCTTAGAGTCTTTCTGTTTTCAAACACAAAACCTTATATGCACCTTGAATCTGAACAGGTTATTCTTTCTTTGTATGTCTGTCTGTCTGCCTCCAGCTGTTTCTGCCTAACTCTCTCTTTTACTCACACCCATCATTGTATACACAGACCAAGACAAATTACAGACTTAAGAGCAGCTGTCTTAGTAATCATAAAATATGTCCAATAAATCTTCAAGGAGAATGAAGAGAGGGGTGCCAGCCATCTTAGCATAAGATGAAAATAAATAGCCTACTTGCTGGGTGAATTTAGTGCAGTGATGATCATAACATAGACTGATTTCAATAACAAGTGAAGTGTCAGAATGAGAAATGATCACAGACAGTGGAATTCAATCGCAATCTAACTTACAAGTTTTTTTGTTTTTGTTTTTTTGGCTGTGTACATTCATAATCACATGTAGGCAAAATACAAAAGCACCTCTGCAGCTCAGGTTTGGATTCATTTAGTCTTAGTGTAAATGGTCTTGGTTACTCTAAAACTCACCCCATGTTTGCATACCCTCTGTTCTCTTGTCTAATTTGAAAAATGTGCTTAGTCTGACAAACTCCAATAAATGCTTTGAGAGGAGTGCTTCCTAATGTGTAGGTAGGCATTTGTATCTCTTAAAACAATGTCGAAAAAATGTCCATACAGATCTCATATTAGGGTTTTTCTCTTAATGAGTCAAGCCCAGAGACAAAGGTGTCCCCTGTCCTAAGTTACTGGGCTGTCCTAAGTTGTTCCATACTGTGGGACAGTTGTTCTGGGCTGTGCCCTGGCCCCACTTTGTAAATACAGGGGTAAGGTGACTGTGCATCCTGACTGTGCAAATAAACAGTCGCTACTGTCCAGAATGAATCATGAGGCAGAGGCTGCTAACTTATTCACACAAGTTTAAAAAAAAATTACCCCTTTTTACATGTAGAAGTATACTGGCAACACATATCAGAAAAGCCAGGTCCATGAACTTACTGAATACACCAAATATAATCTCTCACTTAGGACTATAAAAGGGGTACTCTGAGACTGAGTCATAGGGAACACCGACTTGTCACCTAGTTCCTTGTGAGCCTTATCCAGGACAGTGGCCATGATAACAGATTGCTGCCTTCCATCTCCTGGCTCCAGCTTGAGGGCAGTTTGTTCTGCCTTCACATAATGCCCCATTCCAGGACAAGGGTTGAAAAGAACCAGAGTCATTGCTGTCTTCACAAAACAAATTACCCTCATAAAGTAGGGAAGTTATCTACCACAGTGACACTCACTCCAGAGAAGGACTAATCACCTTCTGGGAACCCGATCGAGTCCCCCTAAGAATAAGGAGTACTTCATCTCATCTTGCAGAACCAATGTCTTCATGAGGTTCATGTTGGTGTCTCAAAAATGGGTTTGGGGTTTGTGGAGCCACTTTATAGGTTCCCTTTTCCCATGTAGCTACATTGACTAAATCTTTTTTCTCCATTACTATTCTTGACTACTTGCTGTGCTGGGGATAGCTGGCCAAGCCTAGCTTATTGGAACTCCCAGAGGCAAGGCTTTTGATCCACTGATCCAATAACATTTGGAGTTTGAACTTTGGTCACAGCCTTTTGGTCTCAAATATTTGAAGTGACCAGAACTACAAATATGTTGTATCTCGAGGCTCAAAATGTACATCAAAAGCTTTAAAATCTCTTGTCTTACATTCAGTGAATCTTCCTGGTCTTCCTGGGGACACTAATTCAAAGCCATCTGAACCTGAGAGTCTTGAATCAATAATTCCTAATGGGCACAAAAGCCTTTTTACTTTTGTATTTCTGAGTTTTAACTGATATGTGGTGGTGGTGGTGGGGCAAGGTTTATATCTCAAATATCTGCATCTTGTAGATAAAATGCAGAAACAGAAATAAATGGAAAATGACATGGATTGATCTGTATATTTTGCAGAATAGGCTACAGTTTTAAATGGTCCTTTCGTTTTTGTACCAGCTTTAGGGGGAGGAAATCTAGCTTTGCTAGTAGAGGCAGCTGACTTGTCTCTATGTTCCAAATAAGAAAGATCTATGCAGTTAGATTATTCATAGTAACCTTGTACCTGAGCATATTTCACTGAAATGTCCTTAGCATATGAGTAAAATCAATATTTTAACATCTTGTTACTTACAGAAGATAGGTGTTTGGAAGTAAGTTTGGGATCACACACACACACACACACACACACACACACACTCACACACGAGATTATTGCCCCAACTGAAGTGTCTTCACGACGCAAAACTACTTTTGATCAAGAGGGTATACTGCTCACAAAAGAGCAAGCACACAGGAAGTAGATTTTATTTTTAATGAAGGTGATGACTGTGTCTTTTCCATATTTGGCTGCCATCTTGACCTCACATTCTTCTGAGATTGGTCAGTTTTAAAAGAATTAGTGCAAAGAAATGAAGGGTAAAGGGGCTAATCACTTTAAGCCTAGCTCAGAGCAGGGCCTGTAGAAACACAGGTTTTGCAGGGGTGGGGAGATGCCGGGAGGAGCATGAAACATCTGCATAAAAGTCTTATAAATTGGGGGAGAGAAAAACAAAAAAGATTTGAATTCCTTGTTATGATGGTTTGAATAATAAAGGCCCCACATGCCACGAGTTTGAATGATTGGTTCCCAGGCTGCTGTCACTGTTTCTGATGGATCAGGAAGTGTGGTCACATTGGAGGAGGTGTGTCACAGGAAGCAGGCTTTCAGGTTTCAAAAGATTTGGACCATTCCCAGTTCTCTCTCTCTCTCTCTCTCTCTCTCTCTCTC